GCTCTTTGGGGCAGCACCCAGCACCCCCCTCCCGCCTGCCCGGGGGCTTCCGCTGCATCCCACCCCACTGGGACGGCTTGGACTTATATTGCCTTATTTTTTTATTATTGTTTTATTTTTGAGGTTTTGGTTTTTTCCCCCTCTCTCAGGAAGCAAATCAGAACAAAAATACAAATATGCCCTATGGAGGCCGGGGGGCTGCATCTACCCCCATCCCCTCAGCACCTTTTTCAAGGAAACCTCCCCAAAAGAACCGCTCCGGAGCCATTCCCAGCAGCAGGGTTTCTGGAGGGGAGGATTTTTTAGGGAGAGTTGGGCTTAATTAATTCAAGCCCAGGTGGAGGAGACTTTAGCGAAGCAGCTGCCACATCAAAGGGAGTGCAGCTCTCCGGGCAGGGGGATGCCTGCGCTATTTTTAACTAATTAAATCGACAATTTAGCACCGGACTGATGCTCTACAAAAGAAATTCAACAGGAAAAACCCGATTAAACCATGTGGCTCCGATCAAACCCCCATTTCAAATCCCAACGCATCACTTCAAGCCGTGTTTCCCCCTGGGGCTGAGCCACCCCTGGCTCCTCCCGATCCCACATTTACACCCTCCGGACCAGGTCTGGCAGGGAGCAGCCCCAAAATCACATTTGGGAATGTGGGAAAAGCCAAAAGGGACTAAATTCATAATGCTGGTGAGGAGCCCCGATACCACGGGGACGGTACCCAGCAATCCAGAGCTGGCAAAAGCCATCTCGCTGGGTTAGAATAGCAAACCCAGCTTTATTTTGGGGGAAAAATAAAGGGAGTTTTATTCCCTGTCTTTGTGCAAAGGGGTTTAGCCACCCTCTCTGCTTGCACAGCCCTGGCCAGCACCGCTGCCGGCACTGGGGAGTCCCGGCTGAATCCAGGCTGGACCGTGAGACCCCAGGACCATGCGTTGGCCGTGGATGGGTATTTACTTTTTTTTTTTTTTTTTTTTAAATATTTTTTAGTGCTGGGCTCCCAGAGGGGCTGCATGGGACAAGGTGGCGGGTGCCGAACGGCCCCAACTCCGTGGGGACATTGCGCGGCAGAGCCTGCAGGGACTTCTTGCTCCTCTCTCACCTGATGCGTGCAACCGGGGGGGCCGGTGAGTGTTGTTGTCGAGGCGCCCCATCCCCTTTCATCCTCCCAGGATGTACAAATTAAAACAGAAGCCGGTAATTCCACCTTTTCCTGCCTTTTCAGTCACTTCAGCAATCCCTGTTTTTATTCCCTCGTGCTCCCAGGCGATGCGCCAAATGCAATTTGAGGTATGGGGGATACACTTCAAACCATAAATCAACATATTTACACTTTAAATTCAAATACAAACACACCCTCATTACGGAAAAAAGATATCATTCCCTCTCTGCCGCCTTTTATTCACGCAAATAAATGCAGCTGAGGCTCCGTTTCTACAGGAGATTTATCAAGAGAGCCACATTATTGCACACAGCGCTCTTACCAGCCGAGAAGTAGCAGGCTAACTTTATTCTTGTGTTTTCTTTCAGCTAAATAATCACAAATTCTTAATTCGATTCTTAAATACATCCGTCAGGGATAAATACGGCTGTGGAGGTGTACTGGGAAAATCCAGCTGTGTTGGTTTAGCTGAAAAATAACCCTGGGAGGTGGGTGCGGGTGGGAGAAGTGGTTTTTTTCCCCCTTCCTCCGTGGTTTGTTCATATTTCTTTTATACCATTAGAGATGCAGGTCTCATCTGCTTATTCTGAGATCATCGGAGATGGGGGGTG